CTGCAGTTTACTAAAAAAGTGATAAAAGAACATTTCGATACAACATTAAAGGTGGTAAAAGGACTCACATGTACTGATAATAGTTATGAGATGATGCAGCTACTTGCAACAATCTGCCATACCCCTGAAACTTTGACAGCTTTGAAAATCATAATTACGTTTTGCAGGAAAACACTCAAATTCAAAACAGAGTGAAAAAAATAACAGAAATTTTTAAAAAATGAATGGCTGAAGTTTCTCAATTACACTCGAATAAGCAGTGCCTCCGAGAAAACGTTCCGACTGAAAATGTTGAAAAAAAGATAAGTTATAATGCATACCGGGTTTCTGGAAGAATGTCTCTCGCGCCTGCAGACGTTGTAAACTTTCCTCAGTAGAACGTAGTTTAGCAAAGACTTCTACGTTTGCAGATTCCCTACAATGGCATTCGTTAAAAGAATGAAAACAGAATATACATCATCAGAATCAGATGTTCAAGAACTCAAACAAATCTCTTCAGCTAACTAGTCTACACGTAGATCGATTATTCTTTTCAAATAAAAAAGACAAAAGGCCTGTTGTGCTGAAAGCAATGCAAGCTATCTATATGACTGATTCACCTGTAATCAACTGCCGGTCAGTTTCGAACCAGAGAATTAACCAGTAGAAATTAATTGACGCTGTTACAAGCAAAAGCTAACCGCAGCTACTGCAAATGACTATCGATTGCATTTACAATTTCTAATGCATCTTAACTTATGGCAATACAGCTGAAGCAACGAAATGTTCAGTAACAATTTTCGGTACTCAGACAGAAACGTTGGTCTCAGCTTACCATCGTGACAAATTTATTTCTGTTTTATCCTATGTTTAATAAAACTCAAGCATTAACGCAGCTGCCAAACTGCTGAACGATTAGGTCTACGAACCACAGCAGATTTCACAACTAGATCTTCCCCGTTAACGCAGAGACTATCGCAACTAACTTATTCGCAACCAAAACCTGTAGTAATTACATTCGAAATATCAAAACAGAACGGTGTTACTATTTAGATAAGATCATAGTAAATTTACTAAATAATAATCATGTTACTGAATATACTTTACAAACGGGAAAATGAATTCTTTGAAGTTTGAAAGCAGACCTTCCTCAACGTAAAATGGTCTAAGCTGAGGGTTGAAAAGATTAACACTAGGCTGAAAGTTAGTTTATAAAATAGGCTACATATGAGCCCGTTGTATGCCTTGAACTTAATTGATAAAAACGACTAGCCGTCCTACTTTTTCTTAGTTTACAAACGAAAATAAGAATATAATGAAAAAAGCATTTTACATCTTAGGAAGTTTCTGTAAAACGCAAAATAGCATAATTATGGTACGCACAGTTTATTTTCTTGCACTTTGTATCCGTTGCTTTGCAAAAGGTTCATTGACCCCAAAAACAATTAGTAAACAGAATTTGATGAAACCAAGTAAGTGTTGCAAGGTGTCACTAATTAGTTAAAAAAAGACAGAGTTAGAAAAAACAATGACGTCATGTAAAAAGAAAATAAAGCTACAGCATGCAAAATAAATCTTCTTCTGCATCCAATTATGAAAAAATTAAACACGGAACAGAAACTTCTGATGAGAATTAAAATCTAAAGTTAAAGCAAAAAATAGTGCAATAGGTTTCAAATCAGTTTTAAACGGACACCAAGTCGCAGTTAAACCAAGTTAATGAAAGGTTGATACCATTTTTTAGCCAACTGGCGTTCTTTTGAGCATTCGTTTTGTAGCGTTTGGAAGCGCTCGGTCAGCGTTCGATGGCATCGTTGCAGCTCAGACATCTGTGTTTCCTGATCTTCAACGGCAGTGTGCAGCTGCTGTTGTAACGAAAGATTGTCCGCTTCCAATTCAGCGATTCGGCGCTTCCTTTGTTCCATTTCGGTTTCGTAAGCGACCTCCATATCGCGTATCTTGAAAAGCTGTTATATATACACAGAAACTAAAGAAAAACTACAAGAAGGAGATGGCACTTTAAAAATATTTCGGCAAAGTAGCGCAAGCCTTAGCTGCTGTTTTACACATTGAAGAAATAACAAATAAAGTAAAGATTGCATGCAACATCCTGAGATATCTCGGTATAACGCAGTCAATTGTCGTATTCATCAATTTTAAATTCGTTGC